AATGCCCCACAAATGTTACCATGGCAAAACTGGAAGAGTCTACAGTGTTACCCAGCATGCTGTTGGCATTGATGTAAACAAACACGTTAAGGGCAAGATTCTTGCCAAGAGAATCAATGTGCGTATTGAGCATATTAAACATTCTAAGAGCAGAGATAGCTTCCTAAAACGTGTGAAGGAAAATGACCAGAAAAAGAAACAAGCCAAAGAGAAAGGTACCTGGGTTCAACTAAAGCGCCAGCCTGCTCCACCCAGAGAAGCACACTTTGTGAAAACCAATGGAAAGGAGCCTGAGCTACTAGAACCTATTCCCTATGAATTCATGGCTTGATGGGTGTTAAAAATAAACTAATCTGTGGTCTTAAAAAAAAAAAACATCTATATTGTCCATACAGAGTTTTCCCCACGCACCAAACTCTACTCCAGTCTGAACACTGTATTCTAATGCTGGATTATTCACCTCCCCTACTAGCCTGAGCAGATCAATTAGTCCTTTTAACAACAGAGTACTGGGGCTGTCAGGTGAGGGAGGTGTTTAAGGGTACTGGACTCCTACATGGCTGACTGCGGTTCGATTTCCAGACCTGGCAGCTTGTTTTCTCACTTTCCCTTTCTCTCCTTCTCTGGTCAAATTAAAATAAACACATACATACACATATACATAAAATTAAAAATAATTCTCTAAAAAAGAAAAAGAACAGAGTGCTCAATATATGGTAGATGTTGAACAAATGTTTGCTGAATAAACTATTTTAAAATACAGTTATGAATAACTATTATAGCTACATATTTAAACTATAAATAACTTCCAATAACTGCATCTCTAAGATAATAAAAAATATTACTTGATGGGAACCAGCAGTTAGCGTAATGGCTATGTCACTGGACTACCACGTAGTCGACCGTGGTTTGCGTCCTGGACCTGGTGGGTTAAAACTCACACCAGGTGCATGTGCGTGCGTGCCCAAGATCCCGAGAGGAGAATGGAGGAGAAGGGATTGTGGCGTGACCATCCCCCCTGGGGGGTGATTTCTCGCTTTCTGTCTCTATGTCTCTCTCTGTCTGTCTGGCGAGCACACGCACCCTATAGCAAAAACCTCTCCAAAAAAAGAAAAAAATATATTACTTGACTTTATTTATAGGCTAAACAGAACTTCATAAGTTTTCATAAAACACAGAAGTCCCAAAATACCCTAGATATTTACTTAATTCCCAATAATCTAAAGATATTTGTTAAAAATATTAGAAGCAAGGCCAACAGATGGTGTAGTGGTTGCATGGCTGGACTCCCACATGGCCGACCGCAGCTAAAGTCCTGGACCCGGTGGCTTCAAAATCACACCAGGAGTGTGTGCGTGCTCAAGATACCGGGAAAAGGGACTGCAGCATGCTTATCCCCCTGGAGGATGATTTCTCACTTTCTCTCTCACTGTATCTGTCTCTCTCTCTCCCAGACAAGCACATGTGCCCTAAGGCAAAAAAACCTCTTCCCCCCAAAAATTAGGAGCAAAGCCTACTTTATTTTAAAATAAAATATTTCATTTCAGTGACAACATTGTTAAGTTAATGAAAGCACTAATCCTTTTCAACAGCTAAAGGAACATGGTAAAATTATATGAACATTGTTCCTGTAGCCTTGGTTTACATATTGACTCTCCTACTTATTAGCTATATGAACGTGGATAATAATAAACATCTTCAAGTTTCAGTTTCTTCAGTAGGAAAAAAGATTAATTTTTTTACCTCCTGTCTAGATTGTTTCAAATATTTAGATACGAATATGAAAGTATTTTTCTTTTTAGAGAGGTTTTTGCTATAGGGTGTATGCACTCTCCCAAGAAACAGACAGAAAGAAAGCAAGGAATCACCTCCACCAGGGGAAATGAGCACACCACAATCCCTTCTCCTCCGTGCTTTTGGCATTTTGGACATGCATGAACACATGCCTGGCATGAGTTTTAAGCCACCAACACTCAAACCGTAGTCACTACATGGGAGTCTAGCAACATAACCATTATGCCATCTGCTGGTTCCCTGAAACCATTTCTATAAGCCATGAATTGCTAAATAAATTTGAACTATTCTGTTTGCTTCCATCCCAATATTTGCCAAAAATTTTACAGGTGCAAATTTAAAGTTTTGTGGGCTATTCAACCTCCCGTAGCTACAGCATACTTCTCTTAATGACTGAAAAATCCATAAATAAGATTAAGTTCCAGAATTACCATAGCAAAAGATTCACTTAGCAGTCCTCAACACTGCATGTTGTTGAAGTGTTTAATATCTAATTTAATAATAATAGGGCATGCTCTTAAAAAGTTGTTATTTTGTAAATCTCAAGGTAAGTTGTTGGTACAGTCATTTAAATTTTAGCTCCATTTAAAAAAAAATAATTAGAGGACAAAAATCAGCAGGGAATATTTAAAGATGTCTTTTATTTAAGTATTTAGACTGAGTACTCAGTTGCAATACAAATTTGACCCACTATAAATTAATTAATGAGAAATTTTAAAAGTCAACCTTACAAAACCAGGATTTACCCCCACTCCCAAAATTTCTGGTTTATTTTTCAGATATACTTCCTGGCCTATAAATCAGAAGAGAAAATTTGCTGCATTTTTCTAAACTAAAAAACTGATAAGAGTATGTTAACTCTGCTCTCAGCAGTGTATTTCCTTGATAAATAGGGACCTGTCCTTAGTCTCTTCTGCAATATTTATAAAAATAGGATTCCTTAACCTTAAAGGGAAAAACTCCTTTGGGGGGGAAAAAAAGAAAAAGAAAATCTACTACAAAGTCAGCACTTCAGTACCTGATTGTAGTAACAAGGCCAAAATCCAAGACGAAGCCCTTTATTGCACATCGTGTTCCAACGTCTTGGGCAGCCCCATCTTGCGACCTCTCCAGATTGGCTGCTCTTGCTCTCTCTACTGCAGAGAGAACTTCGATTAGAGAAATTCTGAAGCTCATAAATCTAAATTGGGTACTCCCCTCATTGGAGGCAAAGAGTTGATTCACTAAAAAGATTCAAGTTAGGGAAGGTTTCAAATAAATCTAAGTGCTTTGAAACCACTACAGTATAGGCAGCTGAGAGTCTTATTATACAAAAGCCAAAAAAAAAAGAAAAGAAAAACAAAAACTTAAGGGAAAAGAAAGCAGCAAATTACTAGACAACCTGCTAAAACAGACTATATAATCATAAATCTCTAAAAAGTGAGTCTCCACTAAACCTGAATTTATAATATAGTACGAACTTATAGCTGACCACTCATATTCATAATTTTTTGAAAAGCAAGCATGGAAAAAACTAGGACATATTATTAATGTTTTTTTTAATGCCCTAAAATAACTTTATTGAAAAATATTTTTAGTTAGAAACTACTGGTTAAGAAAGAGATGTTTCCCTGCTGACTTAAGCCTAGCTGCCCAGGCAAGGCTTCAGAAAATGTCTTTACCCAGAACAATGCTTAGGCAGAAGGAGCAGAGGCTATGGCGGTCTTCCTAGTAACACCTCGAAGGCATACAAATGGGGTATATTTCTGGGATAGACTGCCAACAAGTTACTGCAAGAAGACAAACAAAAACAAAAAACCCTGGCAAATAAATAGCCAACACGCTTGTGTATTTTACAATGACATAAAAGTCTTTATTAAAGTTACCTTAAGATCTAAATTGCATTCTCCACACTAATATTACCTGATTTGTGAAAGACTGGGTTAGTTTTAAAGATGATTTTCCATAAACATTTATAATGATACACAGCATATGTAAAGTTTTTCTTCAAACAGGTAACAAGCCCCACTTCAAAGAACTCAAAAACTATGATTTACCAATTAGGGGAATAAACAAACAATATGAAGCACCTTTCTTACCATGCATTTTTTAACAAACTGTGCTGGTATGTGCTATGCAACAGAATGAGATTGTTACTGTTAAGATATTGTACTTAAATTTACTAATTTAACAATGATTTTACCTTACCTGAGTGTGAAAATTTGAAATGGTTGTTGTTTCAATATCTTTCTTGCCCAGAATTTCCATTTTCACTGGAGTGTTGGGGAAATTAAAAGCAAAGTAGTCCAAGAAGTCTGGAAGATAAGCAGCCGCTCCATGCACTATTGCTAAAGCATAGTAAGCAGCATTTTTCTCATTTTCACTGAATGTCAAAGCAAGAAACTCCTCAGAAAATCTCTCCATCTCCATTGGAGACAAAAATGAGAGTTCATCCATATAAGCATGAAGGACAAGAGCACCACCATTGGACTGGTGTTCCTCATGAATAAAGTTGCTAAATTTAGTACCTGTTTTTAAGAAATTTCTACGAATAGAATGTTCCTGGTGAGTCATAAAAGGTGTTTGTACTCCCTGGGGTACCCGATATTCTTGCATGCCCAAATTTAATCGGCACAGCTGTTCATCTTTCAGATACCTGAAGGACTCCTTATTAACTCCTGAAGTGCTATTTACTTGTCCTTGGGTGAGAATTTCTTTACTGATGCGAGTCAGGCCAGCACAGACGGTTTGTACTTCCTTATTGTACATTTTAAGGCGTCTTCCTCGCATGTCTTCTCGGTGTTTCTTTTTCTTTTTCTTCTTTATTTTCTTCAAGACAAAATCATCAGCTCTCTGGGTTTTACCATTTTCATCTGGTGTTTCTGGCCACAATAATTAAAAAGATGTTAGTTCCTGAAACTAGTATCAGTATACAAGCTTCTTAAGGTACTTGATCTCAAATTAAATAGTCTATTCTCAATTTCTCAGAATTTGCTATTATGTCTTACATGTTTAGAAAATGAAGGAGATAAAGATCTTAAAATATAGTAATATTCCAGGTTGAAGATTACGTTAAAAAAGTAGATACTACAAGAGTGAATATATACAATAATTTCATATGACCTACAATCAAAACTAAAGGAAATATCCAAATCATTTCATGTGTACCATATGATATGGAATATTTGCTCAATACAACTATAAAATCTAAATTGAAGGTCATCATATTTTGCTATCAGTCTACAACTTACTATGATACATAAAGGTGAACAAACCAAAGACAAATTAAGCCACAGAATGAGGCAATGTTTTTGGTTTGGAGGAGGTTATTTTGGTCATCCATAAGCAGAGTTTGAAAAGTCCAAGGAAAATACATATTCTGAAAAAACTATGCATGGATTTCAAACATTTTGCACCAAAATAAGCTCATGTTTTGATTCAATTTTCCATAAACTTGGTGAAGTCCCTTCCTACTTGGCTGGCAGTATAAACTGGCACAACTTTCATGAATTTGGTGATATATCTCAAAAGCCCTAAAAATATTTATAATCCTCAGACTCAGAAATTCCAGTTTCAAGTAAATTTACCTAACAAAATAACTAAAGATATATAAACATATCCATGATGCTATTATTTAAAACAAAAACAAAGAATCCCCTATACGTCTAATAATAGAGGACTGATTAAGCTCTGGTAATTAACATACTACAAACTACTACCCAGCTATTATAAGTTATGTCACAGATTGAAAGAAAGAATAAACAAATTACAAGGTTGTAACATGCCTAAGCTGTCATTCTTCAAGAAAGCCTTCTCTTAACAACTCTTCTCCACTCATTAGTCTTGAAATGTGCTCCCTTAGCACAGTACCTCGCCTATCACTGCACTTCTCACACTGTGTTATTTCATATTTAATTTTCTATGTCTTTTCTGGACTGTAGGCCATCTAAGGTCAGCAATGTACATCTCACCCTTGTTTTGAGAGGTGCTCAGCACATGTACATTCTGGCCCCATTTTTATAATATTAATTTTAATGAACATTAATTCATTCAAACATTAACTACCCATCACATGTCAGGTACACTTCTGAGTACTAAGGACATGGTACTCAGACACAACCCCTACTCTCTTAAACTTTATAATCTAGTTGGACAAAAAAAGAAAACTTACTATTACCAGGTAATAGTAAGTGATGAGTGATGAGTAGGCTGCTTGAAAAGACTTGTTGAACTATTAAGTTATCGGGAAAGTCACAATGTATTTTTCAATGTTTTTCTATGCAAAAAGGGTCATGATTTTCCTGATGGCCCAATGCATATATAATATATAACACAGAAAAATCTCTGGAGAAATAACATACTAAAGAATAAATAGAGATGATCTATGGGTGGTAGAATTATAATATCTAGCTTCTCTGTTTATCTTTTTTTCCAACTTTTCTACAAAAAAATTACTTTTATAATTTTTAAAATGCATTTTTTAATTTTTAAATGCTTATCATGAATTGGTAAGCCCAAGATAGAATGTCATCTTTTATCTACTGTTGGGAAATATACCTAGCAAGAAATCTTTAAGATTAAGTACCAGTTGTAGTCCTGACCAACTTTCAAGCTTGGTTTAGCATTTACTACATAGACGTTGTTCACTAAACATGATCACGCTGCATAACCACAGCATACCACCACACAACATGCTGCATGACCACGCCCTGCTGGGGGTTCTTTTTTCTCATGCACAAATAAAATTTAAAAAGTTTTTAATTACTTGGTAAAATATGTAAATGGATGATAGCTGCAGTACTCTACATAAAATTACTCCAAATCATCAGATATTATAAAAGTTACAAAACCTACTAAAGAAAATATTTGAAAATACCGACTTTTGAGTGAATAGATATCAAATAACTTTCATTGTTTTTAATATTTGCTTGCAAGCATCACTTGTAATAAAACTGAGATCATATACCAAAATACACATGTAAACAGACTAACTGGCAAAAGAAAAAGCTGTCAATCTTTTATTCTGAATACAACTAAATGTTTTTTCTTTCTTTCAATTTTGCCAGAAGATACGTGTACCCAGCAGAGAGAGACAGAGACAGAGAAAGAGAAAGTGAGAAAGCACCCCCACACACACACACAGGGAATGGTATAATCCAAATTCTCTTTCCTTTCGGGATTTTGGACACACATGCACACTTCAGGACTCTAACTGCTCAGTCAGCCATGAGGGATCCAACTGCCTTAACCACCACTCTACTGGCTGGCCCTAAAATTAAATCTTTAAGAATTAGTTAAAATACTTCGTAACAGTTGAGGCCAACTGGTGGTATGGTGGTTAAGACAGTTAGTCCCACATGGCCGACTGCACAATACAAGTCCCAGACCCAAGTGCTTGAAAATCACGCTGAGCACATGTATATGTGTGCCTAAAATCTCACAAGGAGAATGGAGGAAAAAAGAATGCAGTGTGGCCATTCCTTGCCCCCATCTCTCAGGGGTGATTTCTCACTTTCTCTCTCTGTCCTTCTCCAGTAAGCACACACATACCCATAGGCAAAACTGAAAAACAAAACAAAATAAAACAAAACAAAAAAACTTAGTCATATTTCTTACCAAACAAAAGTATTACCCAATATCAAATCAGTAATTTAGGTAATTCTGCCTAGCAATTAAATGTTAATGCCATTAAATATAAAAGTTAGACCAATTTTAAAACAGTCATGTAATTACACTCTGCAAAATGTTTTAACAATTTCAGTTAAAAAAAAAAAGAATAGAAAATATCTCTGAATAGATCTTGTTATTTTAAGCTTCAGAAGAGGTATCTGGCATGTAGAAGATAAACTGCGACCTAGATCTGCCATAGAAATTAACACCAAGAAGGAACTGCCTTGACTGTAACACATTTTCTATATTACTATCAGCCTACCCCTGGTATTTCTAACATGGACAAGTCCCTACAGGTTTTATTCCAAAATTCATTTATATAAAAACCACTGGATGTAGAACACGATCCAACTCAACCGAAAAGAAAAAGAAAAACCTAAAACAAACAAACAAACCCAGGGCCAGCTGGTGGAAGGATGGTTAAGGCACTGGATCCCGCATGGCTGACATAATCCCGCATGGTTCCAGTCCTGACCCAGCGGCTTGAAAGACACACTGAGCATGTGTGAGCATGTGTGAGCATTTGTGCATGTGTGGTGTGTGTCCCCGAGGTCTCAAGAGAATGAAAGAGAAGGGACTGCAGAGTGTCCATCCCCTCAGGGTTGGGAGCAGGGGGTTCTCATTTTTCTCTTTGTATCTCTCCTACAAACACACAATGGTCTATAGGGAAAAAAAAAATTGTACTGGAAAAAAACTGTATGAGAAAATGAAAAAGACCTTAAACTGACTGTAATCTCATATATCAACATAATAGAAGTTTAAAGTATGAAATAATCCATCTATCTTCTCACTAATCCTGTTTTTCAAAATTTGACTTTTATCTGAGGCTAATATAAAAGCTTGCTTTTGTTGATAGAGAAAACTGAGACTGTCCACCTCATTCTAGCTAATGAAGTTCCATGAGTAAACAAAATTTATCCTTGAATTACTGTGGTGGCAACTAACAGAGAATGGCATACACATACCAGAGTTGTTATAATGGACACTGCAGTAAATTGGCCATCGCTGCTCTACAAGAACAGTATCAATTGCCTTGCCTTAACTTAAAAACCTTATTTAAAAATCAACATCTAAAGTCTTCACAATCCTTCCATCTCTAAGTTAGAGTGTTTTAACTTTCCAACAAAGGATGTTCTCAGGAGGTTATATTTTCAGAACTTCCTCATACAGCGGAAAAGCTAAAATTTATTGACATTAGCTCTTTACCTAAAAAGAGCCAAGCTACATTATACTGTGATTAAGAAGAGCTTTTGGAACCAGCAAATGGAGTAATAATTACATCGCTGAACTCCCACATAGTCAACTGTGATTTAAGTCCCTGACCTGGCGACTTAAAATTCATGCCAAATGCATGTGCATGTGTGCCCAAAATCAGGAGAGGGGAATGGAAGAGAAGTGACTGTGGCATGGCCATGCCCCCAGGGGGTGATTTCTCACTTTCTGTCTCTCTGTCTCTGTCTTTCCAGCTAGTGCATGTGCCCTACTGCAAAAATCTCTCAAAAAGAAAAAAAAAAAGAATAGCTTTTATGGGGCCACCAGGTGCCATGGTTGTTGGGATGCTGGACTCTCACATGGCCAACTGTGGTTCAAGTCCTGGACCTGGCCACTTGCTTTTTCACTCTCCCTCCCTTTCTTATTCTGTCTCTCTTTGATGAGTACAAAAAGTTTAAAAATTATAATAATAATAAATTAAATAAATAATGTTAAAAAAAAAAAAAAGGAAAGCTTGGGACTAGCAGATAGCATGATAGTTACAATGCTGGACTCCCACATTGTTGATCGAGTTTGAGTCCTAGATCCAGCAGGTCCACATGCATGTGTGCCCAAAATCACCCCAGGGGGTGATTTCTCACTTTCTGTCTCTCTGTCTCTCTCTCTCTCTCTCTCTGGCAAGCACATGTACCCTATAGTAAAAATCTCTCTTAAGAAAAAAAAAAAAAAGAAAGAAAAGAAAAACAACAACAAAAAAAACTTCATGCCAGGTACGTGTGCATGTGTGCCCAAAATCCCAAGAGAAGGGATTACAACATGGCCATCCCCCCTAGGGGTGACTTATCACTCTATCTCTCTCTGTCTCCCTGGTGAGTGAACACGCCCTATAGCAATAATCTCTCTTTATTAAAAAAAAGCTTTTCTGTATCAAACTGTGAGATTAAATATATAGAGAGAATGCAAATAAAGATTCAAATATTATCTGAGAAACAAATAGCTG